AGACATTTACTAGAAGCTTCTTTCTCTACTTGCTAGCAGAAAAATCTCCATGTGGGTAATTCTTTGGAGTAATTCACCAGCTAGTGCAAATGGATCTCAATTTGAATTCTTCTTGCCTTGCAAAATTTTCCTCTGTACTGTTACTCAGCTAAAATGAGCAGTATCACTTTACTCCGCAGTTTCAGAGGACAAAAATCTGTCCTAGGACAGACAGGATCTTCAGGGTCAGAGGTGGCAGAAATGCATACTGTCAAATTCTGCTGCTGCTGCAGTGCTGTGCTGGGGTAGTGTTGGCCCTTGTCTTGAGAACTGATCCAAATCAAGGGATGAATGTGATACTCACTGTGCAACCTCATACAGATTAAAGAAGCAGGTCAATTTTCACTGTGAGGGAGCAAAATATTCTCTATGTTACCATTACAATTAGTAAAATGAGAGCTTAGATTTCACATTAATGACTATGATCTGAAACAAAAAAAAAAAAAAAAAAAAAAAAAAAAAGATGTGCAGTAGCACCCTCCATGCTGCACATCCAGGAACAGCAAAGAGAAGGGAAAATCCAGTCTGCATTGCTGGGGAAAGTTATAAAAAATTTAGAAGTATTTAATAATTTACACAGTCGGACCACTGACCTTAAAAGTTGTGTTAAAAAATTAAGAACCTCAAAGAAAAGTTATTCAAAAATACAGACTGTACTTAAAATAGGTTATTAGTTCCCAAAATCATTACATATGACTGAATTTAATAACAAATTATGTATGAACACAATTACATGTGTAAGTAAATGTGATAAGATCTGAGAACTTCAGAGCAGAGCTATGCAGCATCAAGCTGAGGCAGCGAGCAAGTGTGACACCTACAGAAGAAGCCTGGCTGAGGCACTAACAACTCTAATCTGTGCTCGGCTGATGTCTGGCATAATACTGAGGACATTTGCAGCCTGGCAAAATATTTATTGTCAAACTTGTCTCAGTGTAGACTTCAGTATAAATGAGACGATAATCCCTTTCTCCATTATACTTCACATAAGACAAATTACACCAGACTGTCACATTCTTTCCCCTCCCCCTTACTACTGCTAATCAATTCACTGTGTAGGCCAAAATATCACTTGAGCAGTGACTTAAGAAACACAGGTATGATCTGAAAGCTGGTATGCACAAGGATGTACTAACTGACACTAACATGGCACCCAGTAGAGTTAGGAGTTTAAATGGGGAAAAAAAAAAATTGCATTTTGCCAGCATAAAATTTGATTCCTAATTAGAAGCAAAGAAGGTATTTCATCTCATGCAAACTGTTATGCAGATTTACTGGTAGGGAATACGAGTATTTTGGATGGTTGGCCAGTGAGTAATCCCTAGATTAACTGTGCAAAGCACTTATGTTTCTCTGTGAAGAAATAAGCTCAGGACTATTCTTTTACTGCATGCAGTGTGAAGATAACAAGCCCTTCACTTGAAGAGGAACACCTTTTTGGGTTTCAGTAAAAAAAAAAAAAAAAAAAAAAAATGAAAGCAGTGTTAACCTGCATGCAGGAGAAGTGCATCTTTGATTGTCAAGTGCTGAAATATCTTGCTCAATTTGCCTTGACTCAGGAAGTGATCTCTGATCTCAAAATTGTTGATGCTAAAAAAGGAGCATTGTCTTAAAAGAGCAAGGCAGACAGTACTATAAAAATAATGAGCTGGGAAGACTCTTAAGCCTTATACATAATAGAACCTCTCACTGCACTGATGAAGATTCCCTCAAGGCCCAGTGTGTAGCGCTTTACTTTTATTTTGGCTTATACAGGCAAACACCATAGCGTCAATTAAAGAGGCCACTTATTTACTAAGCATTCAAAGTCTACAGCAGTTAAGAGGATTAATTGTTTTCACGCACATAAAATTTAAACATAAGAGATTAAAGACAAACCAACCTGGTCACACACAACTAACTTCAATTAACCTATCTGCACTTGCTAAGCAAATTTGCTAATAAGCACAGACCACTGGTTCCAGATAAGATCCTGATACTGCAACAAGTTCTCTCCACGTGAACTGTGAGAGAAGGAGCACAGTTAGAGCACTGCTTCAGAAATAAAAAACAACAATGACCCCTAGAATAAACCATTAAGGAGCAGCTGCAACTGTATGCCAGTTGAAATTGTGGAAAATATATGTGGAGACATCCAGAGTTACCTTCAGAAAATAACAGCATTTGAACTTCCAACATTAGCAGCTCTACTGCAATCTGAAATTTGAGAAAAAGGCTGCTAATAACAGGAGAGGAAACCACCCAATATTACAAATCACAACTACTCCATTCATTTCAACAGAGTTCATGTGCTGAAGTGATTTACATCCATCACGTTACACATCCCAAAATGGGAACTAGAGCCACTTTATCCTTCTGCAGTTAAATTAATGGAGGCCTTGAGCTTCAACTCTGCCTGGCTAGAAAGCTGCATTCCCTCAGAAGCTCGCCGCACAGGAGACCTCCTCCAAAGAGCTGCAGCAGGAGGCAGGTTTGCTCAGTACATGTTTGTTGATATTGGGTTTCATTACTAAATTTGTGTTCCTCATCTCATCCCTGGAGATGTTCAAAACTCAGCTGGGCACTGCTGTGAGCAGACTGTTCCAGCTGACCCTGCTTCGAGAATCCTCTCGGGTGGCCTAGAGCATCTCCAGAGGTCCCAGCCCACCTCAGCTATCCTGCCGTTGTACAACAGCAGCCAAAATAGCATTGCCCACTGCTCCAGGTCTCTCTGAACATGCTGCAGTCACCAAGCAGAACGACAGCAATACAAAGCCCCTCTCCACAAAGTCAAGAGCCTCTGCAACTCCTCTGTGGTATAGAAGTTTCCATACTACCCGGCTTCAAACACTTCTTATCCTTTCTGATTTCAAGCTACAATGCATCTTCAAACAGCCCCTCCCTAAAGCATCATAGTGTAAATCCTGCATTCAACATAGGATGTGGTGGGTTTTTATTTTTTAAAGACATAGACAGCTGTCACACAGTATGCCTTCCCAATAAACAGCACGCTAATTACATGACAATTAGGTAACAAGGAAGAGTCACATAGCAAAACAAAACCTAGTATTTCTGGTTTTCCTGATTAATATTTCACAATAAATTGTCTTGTTTTAACCAATATCTCAGTTGTCTCAGCTTTAACCAATATCTTCATTTTCAAAAGAGTCTGTTGGGATATAAGTTTTTCCTACCCTTATCCCTGTTACCCCTGTGCAGGTAATCACCTCAGCCAGCTACACACAACTGTGGATTTTATTCCTTCTTCTCAGCTACCAGCAGAATTATTGACTCATTTCACTAATTTCCAGCCCATTACACCTGCACAAGCCCAAGGGCTCTTCATAGAAGCAAGCAATATCACAATTTGGCCTGCTGAACCTTCAGTGCTGGCGGTGGCATGGGCAGAGCTCTGCAGAGCTGCCAGTTCAGAAGGATGTGCCTGGCTGTGGCACCTTCCTTCCTCTGCGGGCAGCCACCTCCTGCTGCACCACATTCCTACCATCAGGCCATCTAATCGCAGGTACCTGCAGGAATCCACAGCTCGTGATTAGGAACATAATTTAATATTAAAAAAAAAAATTAAATGTTCTATGTAAAATATCTCTTTCAATTAACTATTAGAACAGGAACATAGCTCTTCCTCTTCTAGATAGCTGCTCCAACAGCCACGATCAAGTCTTCCTTTTTGGCCCTAGGAACAATTCTTCCACTTGTTAAAAGACAGAGTTTCAACATAAGAAATTGTATCTATGCTCTCCCATAACATCTTATAGCCAGCCAGCTGATTTCCAAGCATCTAAATTTTTTATAAATTTTATAGCCAGCCAGCACGATTTCCAAGCATCTAAATTTTGGATTTAGAAAGATAACAGTAAATCTAATCATAGGCGTATGGGCCATGGCACATTTCAATAGTTTCTGAGCAATTGTAACCCTTTTACTAATAAATAGCAGTAAACCTGTGAAGGTTCTTAAAAATAAGAAGTGGTTATATATCCAGTGGAATAAAGGCAGAAAAGCAGCCTATGTACATCTTGCCTATAATTTTCCTGAAAGGTCAGGTAGGCATAGGGCATTTTTTGCCCCATTTTCACAGAAACAGGATAATAAGTTTTCTGAAGACACTGCCTAGCCATCTTCACGTCCTTCAATTTTCTTCTGTTCTAGAAATCTTTGTTTTATGCCTTTCTCTAGAAGGCCCCTTCACTGTACCAAGCAATGAAACAGAAGGCTTAGCTGTGTTGTAAAATATTGCATGTGCTAACATCTGGAAGTGAGGAAATAGGATTTGAGAATCAGGGGACTGTATTTTATTTTCCGAGTGCACAGCTTCAACAACGTAGCAAACAGTCCACAAAAAGCATAAATAATACTCAATTAGACTAACTCTCTCTTCCATGCTTGCAAACTAATGTAATTTGGTGTAAACTTCACTTAAAAGTAAGAAGTATACACATATATATTAGGACACAGAACTTAGAAAAATCAGGTCCTGATTTTTTCCAAAGCTGAAACCCTTAATCACAAAGGTAAGGTCACAAACATTACATAAGTCATTTCATAAAATGTATATCAAAATGAGGGGAATATCTTCTAAAAATAAGAGAAAAATATCTGTGTAATTAACGTGATAATTACCTGGGTAAAAAATATTAATTTAAGAACATCTTTCCCAAGCAACTATGTACTGAGACAGAAATAATCTGATGGTGTATGTTGAACAGAGGAGGTCTTTCACATGAAACACAGGCCTTTTGGGAAAGCTAGGCATTCAGCAAGCAGAAATGGATTTTGAATAAAGATCCAAACAGAAACCGTAGATAAAACCAAAACTAACTTCTGTGGAAATGCACCAGTTTAGTGCCCTTCTGCAGCTGGCTTAAGGAATCCATTTCACACTTGGCTGAAATGCCTGCTTGGTCCCTACCAAAACAATCCAGCATCTGAACACCCCCTAATCTTTTCTGCACAACACTCACGTGGTGATGGTGATCCTGTGATTTTTCAAATGGAGAGATGCCAGGGAATAAAGAGCTTGATCCAGAAGCACAGCAGGCATATCGAACCCAGGGCTGCCCCACTGCCAGGCACTGGCCGCTCAGTGCAACGCAGCACAGGTGGGACACTGGGGAAAGGGCAGGCGCAGGTGACCAAGCACCTGATTTGGTCAGCAGACAATTAGTTACCACTGATCACCTACTGAGTGCAGGGCTAAGCTCCATTTTTCCAGCTGCAAAAGCGCACCACATATTTATATTAAAAAGCCCTATTCCTCCAGGCAGCGACAAAAAAGTAATGCCCTGGAGCAGCCTTGAATGAGTATTCCAGCCATTGAGGCGATCCATGAAATGCCCTGCTCCACCAAAATATGGGTAATGGGAGGGGTTTCTTTCCTATGGAAACTCCTCTGCTTGATATAAATAATATTCATAATGAGAAAAGACTCTTCATACCTACAGCTCGGTACCAGGATATTATCCTAGGTACCAGAGACCAAAATTTAAACTCCTACTCCAAAGTTCAAAACTAAAACTTTTTTTTTTTTTTCTACTGTTTGAGGTGATTATTCTGAACAAAAGAACATTTCAGCAAGTTTCTCTCAGTTTTGGTTGCTATGTTTTGTACATCATTTCCTCAGTATAGGAGAAATAAACAGACACATAAGATATTACGCTACTAAGCCTAAATGTTAATTTGAGGCATCAAGCTGCTCTCAATATACACACAGCAATAATTAAGAAATAAAAATACAAAATAGAAAGGTGGTAATTTGAAAATTGTCAATTCTGTACAAGGAAAACAGAGGAAGTACAGAAGATGCCTGACTCCATACGAAGGGGTGTGCAATGAATAGAGACCATCCTCAGATAACACTGTAATCCACACAAATACAAACAAACAAATAAATAAATCTCTTGTCCATAATGCAAGATGTGCCACTTAAATAACAAAGTCTTTTTCTTAACCTTGCATTTCACATTTGCTAGACTGGCAGAATCATTTTAACCTAGAAGTCTTTGTGTATAATCTTCATTTCTAGTCTATCTTCTTGTTTTTATCTTGCATTTAATGTGTGTACAGCTGGTTTATAAAGAACCTTAGCCCGAACAGAACTAAAAATCACTGAGAAATCCTCACTGAAAAAGAAATCACTGCATTATAGGATTAGTCTGTTGAAAAATGCTTTTTCTTAAAGCTGAAAAAAATGTAGAAACTGACCATGTGTAAAGTCAAGGTCAGTTGCTGCATTCATGGAAAAGAAAGACTCCTTTGTGTCACCAGAGAAGAGATGATTAGTTTCTCAGTCTCAGTGTCATTTCACAAATCTTTGATAACCTCATCAGGTGAGACATCTCAAGTCAGTTCACATTTCAACAAACGAGACCTAAATAATTGCCTCACTAAAAGCAATAAGGATTATGACTAGAAAGTTATGATTTTATCAAAACAAACACCAACATCTTTGAAAGAAATTATAGAACGTGTTCTCATTTATTTTAAAGAATCTTTTTTCATCTACACATTAATACAATATTGCACTTTTGCGAATGTCAAAAATCTCCAATGTCAGCTTTCTTTTCTGAACCTTTGCTTCTTTTAAGTTTGGATACTGGTTCAGATCCAATTCCAGTGTGACAGTACACAATGCAATTTTTAAAAACATTTAGAACACAAATTTACAGCAAATGAAGCAGGAGTCACATGTATTGTGCTGTTGATTATCCAAGCCTTAGATACTCAAAATTCCTGCCATCTGAAATAAGCTTGTATGCTGTGGTAGCTAACTATCAAGGGAACTTATTTAATGTCATTAACTGAAACCCTGATCCTCTGAATTCATGTTCGACATTTCATGTGGCATTTGCATTATTAAAGCCATAACTGCCCTGAAAAAGAAAAGGCTAAAATGAGCTAGGAGGCAAAGACTTTTCTGAAGACTTTGTTATTTTAAGAAGTACGCCAGGTGCTTAACCAGACAAAAAGAAGAGAGTCGCCAGCTTTGAACGGCCGATGGTGTACTCACAGATATGGCACACTACAGAACAGAAACGCCCGAGAAGAAAGAGCACAAGAGTTACAGTAATATGATTACACGGTTGCATAGTTAAGGAATGTGAAAATCTTGATGGTTCAGTTGCAAGTCTGCCGGTCATTTTGTGTGTGTAATTATTATTGATTTACTTCTTGATAGAATCTCAGAGAAAACATGGAACAGAGAGATCTGAATAAGATCCAGATCTAAACACAGATTTAAAATGGTGTTCTCATTTGGCGTTAATTATATTAATGGCATTTTTTATTCTATTTTTACCTTTTTTTTTTTTTTTTTATCTTGACTTCAAGTTATCACGTACGCTGCTTTAGCAAAATAAAGCAATTGAGTGTGGAATGGGCACCGAAGGCAAAGACTCTAAAAAAGAGCAGCATGCTTTTTCAATCTGGCCTTTTAAAACATCCATTATCAGAGGGCTTTGGAGGTTTAAGGGATTAGATACCATGACACATCTGTCAGATTATTATGTAAGAAAACTCCCCTGCTGTTTTCTGTGGGTAGAATGTCTGCTGTGGAATATTTTAAAATAGTTTTAAAAACAAAAACACACAGAATAGGCAATATTTCATTTGCTTCAAGGTGTGTTTAAGAAAATAAACAACTTATTTTTCCTAAAAACAAGTTATATTTAGTGCCCAGACTGCACACTTCTATCTGAACCCGGATTAGCAGAATACACATGACCTTGCTGTTCACAACAGAGATTGTGCAAAAACATCAGGATTTGTAGGTCGGACTAACTTGGCTGCAATTTACAGACCCGGGAATCACTGGCAGCATGTAAACAGTAGCAATGAAATATGAAATGATAATTCATGTTAGGTTTCAGTTATATGCTTAAGAGATTTTAAATGACTGCTAATCCTAGGAAGCCTGTCTGGGTTAAAACAAAAGCCTGAATGATTTAAGGAAAAATATCTAATATCATTCTACTGCTCACATATTTTATTTTGGCAACACAGGCACACCTCGAACCTTACTGTAGAAGACGTATGCTTGTCAGCGGCGAGGCAGAAGCGTCCACATCCCGTTGCTGAGAGCACTGCAGAGCAACGACTGATCTCTGGATTCACATCAGACATGGCTAAAAGCTGCAGCTTTGTTAAAATAATTATGAGAAGCAGAAGTTTGAAGCCATCATCCACCACCAGTTGGATACTACAGATTCAAACAATTACTGTAACTTCTGTATTGGTCAATTCTGATCTCCAAGTTCTGTAATTTTCATGCCCCTGCTGTGCTTTTAGACATCTCACCCTTACAGCAGGAGACCAGATGATGCAGGGCTGTTTAGGTGGTAAGAGCTACAGTACTGCGTTATGCAAACAAATCACAGAAGCACACACAGCAAGACTTGAATTGGAAGCTTCTCCCATTCCAATAATTTCTCTCTCTTAGCAGCTGCAATTTAGCCTTTCCAGAAATTCTGCTACCAACTGCATAAAGCATTTTAGCTCTGCTTTGCATAGACCAATGAGCAGAAAATAGTCATCAATAGATGGAAACTAGAAAGAGGCAAACTAAAAATCAGCAAAGCTCTGGAACACCTCCATACATTTGGATCAATAATAAATATGGCCAAATATGGGGGAACAGATGGCAGATTAGTTGATGCCTTTTTTGTTGTTTTCTTTTTAAATAAACATAAATAGTACATTTGTCTCCCAAATCTGACCTTCACGGGAGCACAGTATGACCATGAAAAGCATTCCCTGCTCAAGGTTCAGCTATTTTTTTACACTGACATGACCACAATTGGAACAGCAAGGCTCTGGCTTCAAGCACTACTCTCAAAGGCTGCAGTCTGAAGCAAGAAACCCATGCAGAGCTGCAGCATCTCTTAGGGCACTTACTGAGCACACGAAGCTGGCAGGGCAGGTGCTCGGCTGCTTCCACCTGAGAAACCTTACCCCACCCAGACAGTAGACCCCATTTCTCAGGTTCCCCCACTGTCAGCCAGTGGGAGCCTAAAGGCCACGCAGACTTGTCTCACCAAGCGTCCCCAGAACTTCTGGCCTAGGACTGGCAGTTTCACTCCCTTACTGTTGCATAGGAAAAGTTCAGTAACAACACTGCTGATTTCATTGCCTAATACATGTTACTTATTCAGAACAGTTTAGCACCTTTTGTTCACAGGAACCATACAAACTTTGTCTGCAAACTAAGAGCCATATTTTGCCTCTGTGTGTACAACTGACATTCACACTGAAGTCAGTTTAGCTGACATTGATAAATTCACACAACTTAATAGTTAGAATACCACTCCTGATTGTTTGTGTACACAGACAACCACCACAGTGAGTCAAAAGAAGAGTCAGCTCAATGATTCATATTTTCCACAAAATACATTTCTAGGAGATATCCATCATTTGGTCAAGAACTATGCACAAAAACACAGGTGTAAAAAACCATGTGGGGCTCTTGTTTGGACATGTCCAGTGCAAATTCTCCTCCCTCAGATGGCCTCCCTAACCTGGCTGTGTAACTGCGATGAACCTCAGTAATTCAGAAAGAGGGAATGCTCTCGTCATGTATTGAGAGTTGGCATTAGGAGGGTGAGTTTGGTCTACAAAGAGAAGTGACCCACAAGGTCCTGCAGTAGTCCTTCCAAATTAAACCTTTTTAGCTATGCTTAACGCCTGTCATTTGGACAGAATCAGCATAACCCCCTCTGCTGAAGACTAGCCAACATTCCTTCGCAAGAGCTCGTACCTTTGAAGCGGTGGTTTCAGAAATGCTCTATTTCAATCTCAGATGTGAAGCATCCAGAGTCCTGCCATGAAAGCTTAGGCAGCCTCAGAATGTTTATTTCAAATGCTTATTTAGCTGGAAAACATTTGGAAAAGGGGTGAGGTCTTGGCTAGTAGATTGTTAAATAAAAATATATTTCTCAGACAATTCTTTCAGAATTCTGGGGTTTGAGCAAAATTTGTGTATGTGTGTGCATGTAGATCACTAAAAGTACACACATACACACTTTATTCATCTTATTTACATGTAACCCCTACACTTAGACTTCGGGCTGCTGATGCAGACGACTCTTCTGGTGGGAGTGAAAAGCAGGTTCAGTCTCATGTTTATGCGCAGCTGGCAGAGAGATGTGAGAGTGGCTCTTCAGGGGCAGAGCCCGCCTGGCACAGACAGGGTCGCGCTCTGTGCGCGGAGGTCTCAGATGAAGGGCTCCTTATTCCAGCAGACACGCCACAACAAACAAGCACAGGCTCAAAGCCTCAGGCACAGCCAAATCTACTTGCTGTACC